GATGATGATGATGAAGCACCAACACCAATGGAGTAAAGATGTCAAGTCCCAATCCTTATATCGAATGCTTGATTTCTCAGTTATAATTTAAGAATATATTATATTTAATATTTAATCAGTTCATTAAATGATAAGAACAGATACACATACTATTGGTCTATTTTTTAATTTTAATTATTTTCTTGAATCCTATTATCAATAGGTTACCAGTAAAATATCAACTTTTATTTTAATAAGTTTATGTGTTGAGAAGCGTTATACATTAACACTCATGGGTGTTACCTTTTAAACAAACAATGCCATATCATTTTACATGTTTGATAAAGTTTAGTGATTACAGTGGTTGTTTGTAAGTACAATTCATCATCTGACATAAGTTAACCAGGATTATCAACTACATCAAAACAAGATAGAATGTCATGAATGATTTTTTGTTAACACCATATCCATTAAACTGAAAATGGATAACAATTGTCCATTGAAGAAGTGGCTGACGCTGACCAACAATCAGACTAGTTGCTACAATAAGTGCAATGTGAGTAAGCACCATTATTTAAAAATGTTGCACAAATTATTCAATCTTTCATCTAATTAACTGTTACTACAAATTTAATATGCAAAAAATATTTATTATTCATTACATACATTCAGTACTTTAAATATTTTGGAAAAATAATAAGATAATTGCATTATATATTCACATGAATTTTTATTTAATTAAGGTGAGAAGACATAGAGCAATAACATTACCTACCCAGTAACATAAAATATGTTTTGATTCAAACAGAAAAAAAAATGTTGTATTGTTTTGTCTTTATTAGTCTGTTTGGTGTGTAAATACATAATTAGAAAAAAATCTGTGCAATTTTTATAATAAATAAAATTATTTTATAAGATACTTCTAATTTTAATGTATATTCCAATGATTCCCAAACTTTTTATGGTACGACCAATTTTAGAAATTATAAGTTTTGTCTTGCCACAATAATATCAATTACCTTTTTTTTTAAAGTAGGCTCTTCATGAATTAATTTTCTTATTTTAACCCCAGTACTTTAAGTCATTGACTGTTTGTTTAACCACTTGTCTATAATAATTGCACTGTTTGAGAACCTCTGGTTTAGACCATTGATCAAGAATATTGAAAAAAATTTTATTTGTCAGTATCTACGATCTTCAAGTGCATCACAATTCACAAATGTCAAAATATTACTTTAAAATATCGATTAACTTACAATTTTTTATAAAGCCCTCTCAATCACATTTGGCCAATGACTATATGTCAATACCAAAACTATCAATTAATATTATGTTTTTCAAAACAAATATACATCATATATATCAGATGGATAAGTCCAACATCTAAAAATACCTAAAGAATTTACTGAAAAGTTGCCACTTCATTTTAAACAATGAGGTATATCTAGGAATTTAAAGTGTGTGTCGCCAAAAAATGTACCATTTTAAGATCTATCATCTATAGATACATTAATAATCTATTGCTTAAATAAGTTTATATTTTTAGATAATTGATAATAAACATTATTTCTAATTTATTTAATTAGTAAACACAAAATTACAGAAAAATATTAAATAACATTGTACACATTTGTTGAAGTCACCAGACTTTTTTATAATTGAAATAAAATTCAACACATTATAAATCAAACTTCAATTTTTAAATATTAGTTTTTCAACTATGTCATGAAAAAAAAAAAATCTAAGCATTTTAACAGAATAATAATAATTACTTCTTACTTATTTATATACGTAAATAACAAAAAAAAAAATTATGTCAATGAATTCACCTAATAATTTTTGGTCAAGGATTTCCTACCAGATTTAAACCATTGACAATTGCTGTTTAGTACAAAGGGTAATATATATGGATTTGAAAGTATAGCGGATGCGTTAGGTCGAACTGTTGGATCACGATTTAATAACTCATACAAAAGTCTTATCACATCACTGTCATAAAAGTTCATTTTTTCTGAAATACTCAAAACTCCTTCTACAATGCTTGATATAGTATCTGCCAAACTCTATAAAATATGTTTTTGATACATATAGTTTAATTAGTTATAGTATTTTAAGATCACCAAATATAAGATTATCTTTTTACTTACCTCTGCATAAAAAGGATGTTTTGCAGTAATCAAATAGTATAAAACACAACCAATTTGCCATATATCACTTTTTAATCTCAGAGGTTTTCCAAAACATTGCTCTGGAGACATGTAACATGGAGTACAACAATTTTCACCAATAATTTTGTCACTAACAAATTAAATTCATTATAACTTTATATTGTTAAAGTAATAATAAAATAATTAATTGTGTACCTAGTTAATATGTGAGAYGAACCAAAATCACCAAGTTTTACTACTGTGCCTTGACTTCCTGTTAATAATATATTCATTGGATTAATATCACTATGTATAATCTTCATTTTGTGGATGTAATCCACAGCCATTGTAAGTTGACTTAATATATTTAATACACACTAAAACAATTTCAAGGCATAAGTTAATAAAAATTAATTTTTTAAATTATAATTCTATAAATGATTACATTTTGAGCAATATAATTTGAAGTCAATGAACATTTATTAACGAAGTTTTCTAGAGTTCCGTGTATGGCATACTCCATAATAATATGAAAACTTTGTTCATTTTGAAAACTATTATAATATCTGATGATGTTTGGATGGTTTAACATTTGAAGAATTTGAATTTCTTTGATAGCTTCCTGTGAAAAAAATGTGAGTTCATTCAAATTACAAATGCAACATATTTTCATTATTTACCTTGACGTTCTCTGTTGACATGGATTTTATATGTATGGTTTTCATCACTGCTAATTTCTTTAAATTAAAGTCTCTAACCAGTTCAACAACTCTAAATAATGTAATATTTATAGATAAAATGATATAACGTTATATGTACAGGAAAACTCACCCAAAAGCTCCACGTCCTAGCACACCAACAATGTTATATGAATCCATGCTCGCAAAAAAAAAACAAATGATCAGCAATTTCTATTTTACTGTACAAAAATATCTTCTATAATTGCAATCATTATGTGCCCATTGAAACACAAACTTAAACACAATCAGTAAAACTTCAGATGATTTAGAGTAATAAGAAGATGGTAAGTACAATTTCTTAATAGATTAAAGACATAATCTAATTTTACAATGTATTTGGTATTGCTTTAATACATTATACTTATATACATATGTTAATAATTTACATTAAAACAATAATTAGACTCAAAAGTTTAAACATCATTACAGTAACACTTAYCGAGTTTAAAAAAAAATCTACTAAATACTAATCGTTAATCCCCTGGTAAAAATAGCCTATGATTGGCTATATAATAATATCATTATCGACGCACTTCAATTATTTGAAATTATATTAATTATAAAATTAAACACAACAACAATTATTATTGTTAGTTTTATTATAATAATTGTAAAAAAATAAAAAAATGATATACAGCATAGACTCTAGACAGTGAATGGCTATCAAGCACCTACTCAACTTTAGCTTTTTAATTTACAATTATTATTAACTAAGACAGACTACAACTAGGCATTTGGTATTATGGTATTTTTATTATTTACTATTGTGATATCACAATATCTACATTCAATACTGTGAGATACAATAAATTCTAGTTACAGTTGAACATTTTTAATAATCTACAAGGTCACTTATCATATCTATGTAAAAACCAAAATTGAACTTATAATTAGAACAGTTGAGTACAGTAAATAGCACTGACAATGATATTTAATTATCGTCTTATGTGTTATCTCAACTACCAAAATATTTCCAAGACTATCTATTATCATCAACCGTGTTATCCAACTACCAAATTATTTCTAAGACTACCTGTTAGAATCAACTACCTCCATAYAGGAATCTATTTAAAAATGTACATAACAAATCTAAAAATAATATGTTTTTATAAAAATCTATTACAAAACAATGTATGGGTAGATACTTTAAAAAAATCTGTTAAAAATAACGTAATAAACAAAACGTGTAGTTAATAATTTTTTTTGTGGAGGGTAGTATGTTTTAAGATCCATCAGAATTTTATCGAATGATGGTATATCATTTCCACCATACAAATTCAATCAGATATGAGTCTAAATGATGGCGAGCTGTTGGACGTCGAAATTCCCAATGTTTTCAAAAGCACCGGGAAAATTACAGAAAATAATTATGCGTGATACCTACAACTGATTACCTAGTCAAGGTTTATAGATTATAATATTATACTAGCTCTAAGTAAAACTTGGAGGCCTGTGGTAGTGTGGATACCGATTTTGGAGACAATGTCGTTGGAACTCATAGGCGTGTCTAGACCTTTGACGCAGAGGGTGCAACCTGGTGCGTACCCAGGGGGCTAATGGGCCCTAGCCCCCTTTTTTGAACAATTTTTCTTAATTCATGGTGCCACTATTTGAAATCGCTGCAGAGGGTGCAGGTGCATACCCTGCACCCCCCGTGGACACGATCACTTCAATCGAAAGTATGTGGAGGTTATTAAGATTAGTATTTGTGATAAGAATTGATGATGAGGCTCGGTGTTCTCGTTTYAAATGCGATACTGTTTGAAAATTAAGTTTGAGTGTCTAGAAATCTCACATTACCCACGAAATCGTCAATTTAATAATACAGTCCCCCATTGTATGTCCGGTGCTTTCTCGTATGCACAGAATGTAAATTTGAAATTAAAGTTTGAGTGTCTAACAAGTGAGTCACTTCAATTAAAAATTGATTAATTTTCATTTTAGCAACCAAGATAGGCAATCCGACGAAGCCAGATGGTATATGATACAAGCTACAGCTAATCAGGTAGGCCATCCACCAGCGGTGGATGGTGGACTAATACAACATCTATATAACAATGAATAACTTCATTTTCTTTTTTGCTTAACACTTAAATAAAAATAAAGTATGTATAATATATTATGAGAAGAACTAGCTTCATCATGCATTTTTTTTATTTCTGTTTACTTATAGATTATTAAGCACCACCATTTCCATTTGGTTTATTTTTATTCATTATTATACACAATTACTAAATAATTGCTAAAACTTTAAACTATAAAATAATGTGTAGATACGAAAATGGCGAAAATATTATGTATTATGTATGGTATCGATCATCATTGTACTATTATAAATTATAAATCACGATGTGATCACAACGCGTTCAAAATAACATTGGTCATAGGCACAAATAGAGGAGATTAGTGGGTATTAGCACCCGCAATTTTAAAATTAGCACCCTCAAATAATTTTCGTGTTTATGTGTACTTCTATGTGTTAACTTCTTCTTCTTAAAAAAAATAAACTTAAWTAATAAAATGCATAGCTTAAGCACATTAAAAGTAAGTATGGAAAGGTACTTTACCTATATCATGATATAAAGAATAATATGATATTTTATGAGTTATAATATTATCTTCTGTACATCGACTACATCGTATTTTAAACCATAAAAATATAGAATACAACTATTATTAGTCGAACGAAGATTAACTTCTGATCATAATATACCAATTCCATAATATTTATCCTTGATAAGAAGTCGGAAATTAATTAAAACAATACTAAAAAAAAGGGAGTAAGTGGATGTCGCTCGGCTGTACTTTAGGTGGAGAGGTGGACCTCTGACTAGGGTAGGTTAGATTTGAATGCAATGATAGGTATCATTATATACGAAAAAAGATTCTGAACGGAGATGATTTGTCAGTCTAGGATATATTATATTTAAATATATTGTCATATATTCTATTTTGAAACAAATATTTTATTTTTCAATTAGGACGCATTTTGCATAAGGCATGGTTAATCAATTTTTCCA